TACAGTGAGGCAAAGTTACCATAGTCAGATAAGTGTCCCAAAGCCCCTTCAATTTAGTAAAATATTCACTCACAGAGTCCGATCCTTGAACCAGTGTAATTATCTCCTTATGTAATTGAAACAGTCTAGGTGCATTGGTCTGACTGAATCGCTCATCCAGATCCTCCCATATCTCATGTGCAGTATCATAATACAAAATGCTACTTGCAATTCCAGGTTCAACTGAGTGCAAAATCCAAGAAATTACCAGATTATTGCATCGCTTCCACTGATTGAGCAGAGGAGAATTCGGTTCTGGTGCCTTCGAGCTCCCATCCACAAATCCAAGCTTGTTTCTCGCACTCAGAGCAATCTCAGCCGATCGTTTCCATTGTGCATAATTGTCGCCATTCAACTTCTGAGAAGCAAGAGAGAAATTAGGCGTCTCCGTTGGATGTAGATACAGCTCGCTCTGTGGATCGATTGAAGAACGAGTCACTGGTTCCGCCATGCCTTCGAATCAGATTTTGATTTGGAATGAGGAATGGAATCGAGTTTTGACAAATTCAGGTTGAATCGGAAATGATAACACCATTAAAGCATGGCTCTGATACCATGTTAAAGTTGTGAACAGAAAGAGAACAGAGAAGAACTCAGGGAAGAAGAAAATGGAAATGTTATTCAAGCTTCATATTCTGATCCGTCGTCCCAGAGAAAAGGAAACAAAGTATATATATACACACCATACTGAGCTGCCTAACTAACCAAAAATATCTAGCCTAACAAACCAAAAATATCTAAGCTAGAAAGTAGGGACAATTAGTTAGGAGAATTGGACAGCTGGCATGGACAGGTGGCATATCACTGATGTATCTTCACAAAAGTCGAACGGAATTTCACATGTTCCCTTTTGTCCCCAGTAGGCTATTACCCTTCCAACCTAGAAATGTATCAAACACTTTTTCTCCATTAATGAGGGTGGAGAGACCTAACAAAATATATAGCTGTTGATAAATCTATTGTCCATTTTCTTTGAAAACTGTCAGATCAGTTGAATCCGTTCTCTGAAAATGTCATGAATTATAATAGAGATTCTCAGGGTTCACTCACTTGTTCACCACATTGAATGTCAAATGAATTTTGATGCTCAAACTGGAGACCACTAAATTCATTGATGCAAAGCCCTTGGAATGCCCTAAAATAAAACAATTTATCAAGTGATGCAAGTGTATAGCCAAAGAACAGTAGCAACTTTTTATACATTTATTTACCATCTTATCAGGGAAACACGGGGAATCCAGCGAAAGATAAATGGTGTGTTTTCCGAATTCACATAATAGCCTCCAAACACAATAAAAACAGTCATAAGAGAAGGCCCTAATGCCATAGCAGCTTCAGTAGTTGGAACCATAGCACCCACAGTCAGGCCCATTGCCGAAGCAGCGAATGACTCCATAGTCACAATACCACAAAATTTACCGAATCTGGAAGAGAAAAGAAAAAAAACCTCAAAAACTGAGTTTTAGTTCAAGGCCAATAATGCAATAACTGTTCTTTTCACCATCAGGTCATGGCCCATGGGCTGTAAAGCCCTTCAAGTAAATGTAAGGTTGGGTACATCTTCAATTTCAACCTTACAAACCTTGGTCTGACCTCAAACAAAGTGTAGATGAAATGAGTATTTAAGTTTCATAAGGTTGAATTGTTCAAACTCATAATGAGTCTTAGAGATTTGGGTGGTATTTTGAGCAGCTTGAGCTCCTTAGCTCACATCCATTAGTTAATACAGATATAACTTTAAAAAGTTGATCACTCACAAAAAGAGAATACAAAGAGTGATGATATGTGAGCTTATTCGCCTAATAAATCAGCAAATAGCAGTTAGTACAACAATGAAAGCTTACCTAGACAGAGTAGGATGAAGTCGTGTCATGGGGTACATAATGCTACCAAAAAGTAAGGGGAATGCTGCTCCAATTGGAACCTCGGCTATCAACTTAGAAAGAAGATATGGTCCTAACGCATAAGACCCTTTGGCTCGCTCACGCTCTACAATTGCACGTTCCTTTGGAAAGACTCCAACAGTTTTTGTGAGTGCAGCCATTGCAGTGTTTATGGCAGCTACCTGTGCCAAAATGAAAAAAAATGTTAAATAAAGGAAACAATTGACACTTAAAATTGACAACCCTGGAAAATGGACTGCTACTATGTTAATAAGCAGGGCTAGTTTGTGACCAACATTATTGCAAATTCTAAACTGGTCCAGGTATTGTCAGGGGGAGGGGTCTCGCCGCACAAGCTGCGTGATGGCTAGTTTTGCTAAAATTCAGCAACAGCAACAACAACCCACTACAATCACAACTCCACTGGGTTTTGGGGGTCAAGATGTACAATCCCTATCCCGAGTAACTTGGGGTCTGCTAAATACATGAAGAGGAGAGTCACGCTCATTCACCAAAATGCTCTCTCACCACAGTACAAAAAAAGATTGTTCCTCCGGCCTCCGTCCTAAAACATTCTTCCCGTTTTGGTTTACGAGGTTTGACTGAAGTTATTTTTAATTTAATTTATATGATTATAAATGTAAAATTTTAAAATAATATGTATATATTTTAAAAACTGCATCAAAAGTTCTACAAAATAAGAGGTGGCATGACGATATTATTTTATTAATTGACTATTGAAAATAGGTAAAGAAAGTGATTAAAGTTTGATTGTGTGAATAATAACTGGGACGAAAGTTTTAGGATGGAGGGAGTAATAAATAATAGGAATGGAATATGCAAACCTGAAGCAATCCCAATCTATCTTGTATAGATGTTTGTGATCTTCCCATCTTCCAGAAGACAGAGCCGAATATCAGAGCTGACGCAATAGACATCCTTGCCCGAACTTGGTTTGTTGGACCATCACGAGATGCCTGATTATAAATTACAAGTGTCAAACAACATATAGTGAAAAAAGAACTATATAAAAATGGATTTCTGTAAAACATAGCATTCAATAACCTTGCTATTAAAAGATTTCACAGTGAAAAGCAAGAAATCTTTATACAAAGCTTTTCACAAGAGAAGTAGTCAATGATAGAGTACATTCAAGAATTCAAAGTTTGAGTTATACATATTTCAGCCCTCAAAGCCTCTCAGAGGTCTATATACCAATGGTATATGTGTAATGAGAAAATAGCAAGTTGAGAGGTCATAATGCATACCTGCATCCATGCACGTTTAAAGAGCAAAAAGAACTGCCTCCACCAACCACCTTTCCTTTTGATGACACTTTTCTTCTTTGAGTTCACGTGTTTCTTTAAGTCATCCTTAAAACCTGGAGTTGCATTCAAAGTAGTAATTGTTGCTATTTTTTGTGAGAATGACTCCACAAGTTCATCTATTCTCTTCCGGGAAGCGGAGACACTCTCAGCAGTTCCATAGTCTATTGAAATTAGATCAGCCAAAAACTCGGCGGGATTTACATGATCTGGGCAAATATACCTGTATTCAATCACAAATCACCAGTATTTCATTAAGCACAACAATTGCAAGACAAGGAATATAGCACTGCAAAGTGCAAACCATGTAAAAGTAGTCGAACAATAAAAGATATGTGTATTTAATTTCACTATAAATTATCATCAATCATATAAGATACAAACCCAAATTTTGCAAAGTATTTCAATGGCTCCTCGCCAGCAGGGCCAGCATAAACAAGTGAACCTTCTGACAGCAACACAATGTCGTCAAATTTTTCATACACAGACCCTCTAGGCTGATGTATGGAGCATACCACCGTATGGCCATCCTCTGCAAGCTGATGTAGAGTCTCCATAACTTTCTTTGCTTGAAAAGCATCAAGTCCTGAAAGCAATTATCAAATTAACAACAAATATTTGGTACAAAAGTATCGGCCCTTTTTGAGGGACAAGTATATCCTTAAAATAATTTCTGAGAAGAAGAAAGTATGAAAAAGGCCTTCCTACAGTCTCCCAATAACTAACAAACAACTTAAAAAAAATTTCCTTGCTCCGACAATTGAGGCAAAACTGCCAAAAGATTTAAGGCTACCTTATCAACCAGACTTGGATTAAAATTGCCAATGGATCCATTGTATTAGAATTGTCCAAATTTTTAGTTAAAAAGATAAAGGCAAGATGTTGTACTTGTTACTATTTCCCTCCCTTCCCTTCTTGAGACAAACAATGTAGCACTTAATTCTCTCCCCTCCCCTCTAATATGATACAACTGCAGTAATATTGAAATCTCTTCCTCCCTTCATCTACTATCCCCTCTATTAAAGACCTCCTCCTCCCGTCTTTTGAATCAATAAAGAATGCAGAATGAACAAAAACCTACAGAAATTATCAGAACAAAAGGAGGCTCTAGATGAAAACATAAGACAAAGCTAATAAGCTACAGTCTATTTGTGTGTGTGTGTGTTGATATGAATTAGGAACCTAAAAAATAACACCACATAATTCATTTTTTCATTATTATGCTTTGACGTGTCAAGCATATCTAGACTCTGATGCTGTCCTCTCTGAGCAGCATTTTGAACGGTAGTCAGAAGCCATGCTGTCATTGTTGTTTGTTGTTGTCAACTTAGGCCCTTTGTGTTGATTTATACATATTTAGTTGACACTGATTTTCATAAAAATTGGGTCCAAAACAAAAATGGCAAAAGAAGATAACACATGTTACCAGTAGTCGGCTCATCTGCAAAAATGACAGATGGGCTGGCAATTAGCTCACATGCAAGGGACAGTCGTTTCTTTTCACCACCACTTATTCCACGAACTTTTGCATCACCAACACGGGTATCAGCACAGCCAGACTTTTGAAGAAGTACACATGAAACAATGAAGAATACGTAAGGATTTTCCTAATAAATTCCTATTAAAATCTCATTTTTCATATAGAGACTGCGAAAATATTAGAAAGAACATTACATAACTCAGTAGCATTACAATTTCAAACATGTAAACAAACACAAATACACAATAAATTAAATTCAAAAGAGTCAACAAAGTACAACAGATTATTGGAAATGAATCAAGATTAAATGAGTTCTGTCTCTAGCTTCTTGTTACGGAATGTTGGCACCCCGAGAATGGAGACTGAGCTCAGCATATGGTGGAATCCTCGCCCAAATAGAAAATAGAGAAGAGGACAGTTGTGGGAAGGAAACTTAATCATGAACTTTCATTTCAATGTCAACGTATCTTAACCATTATATCATGTAGTCATATTTAAAAAAGTACAATCGTATTATGAAAAGGAAACTTATCAAACAATGCCAAACAAAACACACCCAGTATATCCCACTCGGAAGTAGGATCTACATGCAAGATGTACAAAAACCTTATTCCTACCACAAGGGATAGAGAAACTGTTTCGGAGAGGACACCTAAGAATAAGTGATGCAGTGTGAGTATCGTTAAACAAACACAATAGAGCAGGAAAAAAAGAAAATAAATAGCATGTTATCTTTTACCTAATAAAAATAAACAAAGAACAAAGGGCTAAGCAGGTCCATCCCTCACAATTACAATGACTAAATTCCTCTTATACGACATATCCTCATAGGGGTTTAAAGCCACCAATTCCAACCTCAATGGCACATCCAACACCTTATGTGGCATGTCTCTCCTCTTGATACCCTCAACAAAAAAGTTTTTTACTCTTCTCAGTGGTGTTGTAGTTGCCCTCTCTTACTTTATCAGTAATAGATATGGCCACTAGCTCTTATTGGAAAAGATGAAATTTTTTTCTGATATGAACGGTATAACGGATATTTCCATTTTTTAACTTTTGAGCATACCTGGTATCGATATAGGGGTAAACCGATATTTCCATCCAATGAATTTGGATAAGCCAAAAAACACATATATTGAGTCAATATTGCAACTTTCATTGAACATTATCAATATCTATATTGGCAAACATTTAAAAAACAAAGAAAATATCAAAATTACTGAAAAATAACTCATATTGAGACATTTAAAATGGACTATCATATAAATATCAAGTACTACTGAAATATTTTTATTCGTAGTAAAAAAATATCATAAATATTTCAAAGACTAAGAGAAAAAACATTTTCAAAAATTAAATTTTCTATCAATATCAAAATATCAATTGATATTTCCATAAAATAAAAGTCTTGATGTATTTACCAATATTGAAATTTTCATCCTTGCTTATCAGAAGACCACATTTAGCATTTTGTCCAAATTGTCTCAACCATAGGTCCACCGCAATATCCTCATATCTGCAACTTCCAACTTCCGCTCAAAAACATTCTTTATCACAAGCACTTATGCTCATACATTATAGTTGGGTGAATGGCTACCCAGTTGAATCTACCCCATAATTTCAACAAAACCTTATGACATAAAACATCATGGGTGGACCTCTTTTTTAGCCACCGTACTATAGGTGTGAGATTTCATCCTCAATCTCTCCCTGTTTTTGGATATTGAGCCCCTAATATCCCTTTGCGGTATCCTTTCATCCCAATGTTGTCTAACATTGTCCTCATTTTGTGTCCCGTTAAAGTTAGTGTTGTACCAAATGTATCCAATTAAGAGTGGCAAATGTGCAAGCAATGTGCTTCCAATGGCATTGTGTAATGTTTAAATTTTGTACACTCCCTTCTTTTTTCTGAGCTACAAGTGAAATGTCATTCCCAAATAGCAAACACCATGGGACACTCTCTTGGATTCCGCAAACAGCTAAGCCACGACAATATCTTCTCCCAAAAAATGTGTCACAAGAGTAAAGACTTCATCAAGAAGAATGATTGTGTGACTGTGTATTTGTGTCTAATAGCCATGCCAGAACAATAAAGAAAACAACAATTACTCTGTCTTTGGGATTTATCAAGCAAACAATAAAACATTACAGAATACGGAGTAAATAAAAAGATGGAGAAGGCAACATTACCAATCCTAGTTTGAACAAGAGATTGTTTACGTATTCGTCTCTCTCTTCCACAGAAGATATGTCATGCAACTGAAGTTCAGCTGCAAGAGAGAGTGTTTCTTTAACTGTTAACTGTGAGAACAAAAGGTCCTCCTGTCTAATGTAAGCTAGTCTGCAATAATAAAAAAACACAATGAATTAAACATATTCCCACCAAATACCTGCTAAGGCAAGTGGATACATAAAATTCATTCTGATCTTGTAAATGTTATTCATACTTGAAGGGTTTGTTGGAAAATGGCTGTCCGTTAACCTCCAAAAGGCCAGACAAATGCAGTTTCGGTGAAACTTTAATCTGACCTGCTAATGCATTGAGCAAAGTTGTCTTTCCAGAGCCCGAAGGGCCCATTATTGCTAGCAACCTCCCAGGCCTGGCCTCTCCACAGACACTCCGAAGCAAAAACCGCACCTGAAATTAAGGGGACAAGACAAATCCTTCTACTGAGGAAACTGAAATGAAGTTAACTGTAAGTGATAAAATGATATCTTTCTTTATGAGAATGACAGTTTTTGTTCTTTATGAGAATGACAGTTTTTGACCTAATATCATATACTCCCTCCAAGTAAAAAATGATTTCCCACTTTGGCTTCATAGAGTTTAGCAAAAATGTTGAAAAGTGTGATCGAAATTTGTTCAACAGAGAGAGAACTGTTGTGAGCCACATAGTTCTTTCCTTGAAAGGAAATGGGAGAAGTGAGAAGTTTATTTTGGGAAAGATAGAAACAAAGAGTGGGAAAAATCTTTTTGGGACGGAGGGAGTACTAATCTAGAAAGAAAATGGAGGAGCGTAGAGATTCTTCAGTTTTAGCTAAGACCTCCAAATTACGATCAAAATGTAAAGCATTGTTGTATTCTATGATTCTTACACTGGGTTGTTGTTGCCATTGTTGCTGGGTTCACATTATTTCTCATTTCTATAAATGTAAAGCAAAATTTTACAAATCTTAATAACAGTGTCCAGACAAGTGTAGGCACTTAATTGGAGACCAACTGACTGAGGGAGCATTAAGGATATCTTGTCATGTGTTTTCGTGCGACAAGACTAGCATTACAATAGCCAGTGATTTTGAAGTGTTCATTCCTTTGCCTGCTTGTTTCTTATTAAACCATCATTGGAAATGAATTAACAGCTCATGAGATTGAAAATTTTCAACTTTAGCACAAAATCATTTCAAATATAGTACTCAGTAGTTTTTTAACTAGAGTGACTTGTGTTCTTCACTCATGAATCATGCAATTATTCGCCCTAGAATTACAAAAGTGAAAGGTTTGAATCGACTTACGGATGAATTGTCGGAGAGAGCGCAAGTAATGTCAGTCCACCTGATAGTTACCGGAGACACTTTCCCCTGGTGAGGAGCATCCCCATTCCCCTCGTCTTCGGCCTCATTTTCCGGCAATAGCGCCGGCCCAGGGCCGGAGAAGATCCGTAGCAGGGCCGCTGCCGCAATCGCCGTCACCAGCTTCCCAACACCACCACCAATCGGCAACATTTCTTAAGCTGACTAGCTGAGACGCAGCTGGTTGGTTGCTCCTCCAGTCCTGCTGATATTTTCTGGTATAAAAAAAATACTCATGGTATGAAATCTAAGGATAATTATAGATGTTTTGAAATCTCAAATTAATTTTATTTTTTAAAATTTGTTTGAAGAGATTTAAAATTAGTTCTTCCGTTCCAGAGTATTTGTCCAATTTTAACTTTTAAAATTGTTTATCTAAGCATTTTGATTCATCAAATTCTCTCAATGTGTAAGCTTAAATATAGTTATGTATGATCTTGTTTGATTTGTCTTAACATATACTGTAGATGATTAATACTCCCTCCGTCCAAAAATATTCTTCCCACTTTCCTTTTTGGTCCGTCCGGAAATATTCTTCTCATTTCTTTTTTAGTATACTTTTTAAAGATAAATATCAATAATATCCTTCTATTTTATCACAAATCTACTTTTTTAGTACTTTTTTAATAATAAAAGGAGATTTAAAAGTTTATAGTATGTGCAATTTTAAAAATTTTGCATTTTTTTAATTATTTCTTAATAAGCGTGCCAAGTTAACACGGGAAGAAAATTTCCGGACGGAGTGAGTATATAATTTCTATAATTTTTTAATATAGAAATTACAAGATAAAATGGATTAAAGAAGTGTATTGGATGGTGTGTAAAAATGAAAGTAGACAAATACTCTGGGACGGAGATAGTATATATTACTCCGTATTAATCTACTCCGTATATGTTAAGCAAAATGATAAACGGGAGAGAGCGACAATAGTGGTTGACTGTGACAATGGTATTAGTGAGGGGGCTTTTGGTTAGGGGGCAAGGGAATTGAGAATCCGAGTGGTATTCCCTAATTCCTTTGTTGTGGTTTTTTTTAAAACAAAATTCATTTCCTTTCCCAGGCTTTTGATTACGTTTTTCCCATTACTTATTCTAACCCCTCGTTCCCCAACCCTTCCATTTTCCTTGCCTCTCCGTCTCTTCCTCGCCGCTCGACACTTTCTCGCCACTGCAACTCCATCGGCCGCTGCAACTCCATCTGCCGCTGCAACTCCAGGTATGTTCTCCCNAATTCCCCCCACCCCTGCGATTCCCTAGCTGTGATTCTCCTCCCTGCGATTCCCCACACCACCATGCGCGATTCCCCCCTCCACCAAAGTGAGTTCAATTGAAATCCCTCAAATTTTTTTACAAATGGAAATTGTTTATGTGGTTTACAATTCAAATTCTTTTATGTGTTTTTTTACAAATTTTTACAGATTTTTTACAAAATTTTTTACAAATTTTTAGAACTCAAATTAGCTGGAAAAAAATTGCAGCCAAAACAGCCCCAAATTTTTAGAACTCAAATTTGCTGCAAAAAAAAAAATTGCTTCCAAAACAGCCCTACTTTTACCCAAAACAGCCCCAATATTATATTTAAACTTGTTAAACATACTTTTTAGCACTTTCATTAAACTTGATTACTTGTTGTGTGTTATGAAACTTTGTGTTTATATTATGTGTTTTGTATGTAATGGAACTTTGTGTTTATTGGGCCATGTTGTATGTTATACGGAATAGAACTTTGTATTTTTATAATATGCTTTGTGTGACTTTATGTTATGTTGTCTTGAGTAGTAGGATGGAGGAGGGCAGTGCGAGTAGCGGCGAGGTGTGTCAAAGGTCTTCTAGGTGAAAGTGCAAAAAATGAATTGGAATGGACAGAATTCAATTCTATGGAATTGAACCCTATGGAATTTCAATTCCAATTAAATTCTAATTCCACCATTTTCTTATACCAAACGGACCCTTATTGACATTTTGAAATAATAAACCTAATAAAACTATATTTGTATCAATATCTAATGTCATTTTTATTTAATTTGAGATTAAATTTTACCAATTTTGACTAAAAAATCAAAAGTGGACCAATACACAGGAAAGGAGAGAACAGAGTAATTAGTTTAGAAGTAATATTATACGAGTATAAAATACTCCGTAATACGGAGTATATTTGAAGAAAGGAGTATTATACTAGGAAAAAAGGTTGACTAAGAAAAAACACTTGTTAACCTAATCGGCGCAAGGCTCCGAACGGCTGAGAGCAAAGAACGCAGTGCGGCAGTGGTGTCTACAACAATCCCGGCGACCTCCGCAGCACATCCAAGCAACAATTCCGCCGCAGCACTTCCTTGTGGAAGCGTTGCCTTTTTAATTCTTTGGTATACTTTTCATCTAAACCGCCATTCTTAATTGATCCAAAATTCAAACTCAAATAGGAATTTTTTTTTATATTTTTCAGTATTGACATTTTATTTTTTTGGATTCTTTGAATTCAAGTAGTGCTGGGAATTGGGATGGGTGGGTGGGTTGCTGGGGACTTCACACTACTTAAGTAACTCAGCACTCTTTACCTTCATTTACATATTTACATTTTTAATAGAACTATCCCCAGACAGAGGAGTATCGGATCGATCCAAACAAGATTCACCTACTTGGCCTTCATGGTTCACCTGCAATGACCTTTGTTTCTCCCAAGTGAGTGATTTTAGTTTCGCCGGGTTGTTTTAAAGAATATTTATATGCGAGTTTTTAGCAATTTTATTTTGTCCATCGTGATGGAATGATCATTGTATGCGTGGATAGTATTGAAAGATATGCTTTTTCTCTAGCAATTGTGGGTTTTTTGAGTATTAGGTGGAATTTCGGTGAAATATTCACGTGGAAAGTATTGCTATCAAGTTATTTCCATAGTATTGACAACATTTTTTTATATGCATATGGGCTCACCGGGTTTTTATGTTTACCCACAACCTAATGGGCAATAAATGGCCTAAAGAAAAGTTGGATTAAAGTATTTGGCATTGTGAAATTCTGGAATGAATCTCTAAACTGGCTCATCTTATACTAACCTGTGTTTCTTTTCTTTGATTGGAAACAACCTATCTATTTTTTTTAGGCAGGGGCAATGTCTGTGTACGCTTACCCGTCCGTTTTTAGTAGTTTTTTTTGTATCTATAAAAAAATAAAGTAAAAGACCGGGATTTTAGATCCCACAACAGAGTAGGGGTAAGGTCTGCGTACACACACTGTCCCAAGTCCTGCTTTTGTGGGATTTTATTGGGTTTGTTGTTAGTGATGTTGCTTGATGAGCCATTGCTCCATCCTACTCTCCTAGCAGTTTGACCCTAACAAAGGATTTATGAGATTTTCTTAGCTCTCTTTGAAGATTTGCTATTTATAATTTGCATGCTTATGAAGGTCGTGATTCGGTCCACCCATATATTTGTTTCTGGAATTCAAGTATTTTGTGATTTACATTAGGTGTGAGGACTTTTTATTGTTTGTTTCAATATTGTAAAAGATGTAATGCTATTTGAGGACATTCCAGTTATGAGTCATAGTTGATACTAATGAAAATTTAAAAGTTTTAATTTCAGGGGGTTTGAGAGAGTAGGAGTGCGTCATCTTTTCAATATTGGCTTGCATTTGAAGTTTAAGGTGAAGAACCTTATCAGACAAGTTCACATGGAAAATACTCAAAGCAGCAATCTTTCAAGAGGCGCATTGGTTGTCTTTGAAGGGTTAGATCGTTGTGGGAAGACATCACAGTGTAGTAGATTAGTGAAAAACTTAGATGACCTCGGACACTCTGTTCAGTCATGGAGATTTCCTGATAGAAACACTTCCATTGGACAAATGATATCTTCGTATCTTGCCAACGAGTCACATTTGGATGATCGCGCGATTCATCTTCTTTTCAGTGCCAACCGTTGGGAGAAGAGGTATTTGTCTCCATCTTGGAATCACAATAATTGCCTTCTTGTAGTTTAACGCTTTAACCCCTAGTTAAAGTTTCGTTTCTTTGAGAGTAGCTTATAAATTCTCTGAATGAGGTAAATGCAGGTCGTTGATGGAAGAAACTCTAAAGAGTGGGACTACAGTTATTGTGGACCGTTATTCATATTCCGGGGTGGCATTTTCATCTGCAAAGGGACTTGACATGCAATGGTGTAAGGTATACACCATCTCCAATGGACTTTATATTTTAAATCCAATGGTTTTGTTAATCTGCAATGCTATGGTTTCTCTTAATGCAGACTCCTGATATAGGATTGCTTGCTCCAGATCTGGTACTGTACCTTGACATTTCACCTGAGGTAAGCATTTTTTTTGTTTGAGTGCATTTGGATGTGCTTATGTGTTTGAGTCGGGGTCTCTTGGAAACCGTCTCTCTCCTTCCAAGTAGGGCCAACATACGTTAGGAATGCCAATTGATTGCGATTGGGTCAGGTGGAACTTCATCCTCATCCATTCATTCAGTCTATGATCTATTCATCATCCGCGGGTGAAACGGCTGTAAAATGGGTGAATTGACTAATAATTCTATTATTAGTAATATCATTTCATTAGATTATCATAATTAAGAATCCTTCTGTCCCTTAAAAAGGTTCCCGTTACGGTTTAGGATGTTTGACTGAGGCTATTTTTGATTCAATTTATATTAAAATTTCTGTAAAATTTAGAAAATTAAAAATTACTTATTTAACAATTACATCAACAACAACAACAACAACCCAGTTAAATCCCACAAGAGTAGGGTCTGGGGAGGGTGTGTGTACGCAGACCTTGCCCCTACTCGAAAGTAGAGAGGCTGTTTCCAAAGAGACCCCCGGCTCAACGTCGAAAATTGCATTGCTTGACTAACTGCTACTTCATTAATTAAAGAAGCGCAGACAGTTTAGAGATCCATTTTGATTTATTCCATCACACCCCAAAGCCAAAAAAATGGTGAAATTTTGGCTCCATCGGAGATGATGGAAAACAAGAGGTGACATAACTGTTTTATTTTGTCTAAGTAAGCAATGAAAATATGTGATGAAAGAAGACATATTATTTTCACCATGTGAATACTAATGGAGAACCTTCTTATGGGACGAAGGGAATAGTAATGATAAGAAAACATCTATTTTTAATGAGTAGTACATAGTACATTAAATATTCATCATTATATTTTTTTGGTGCAAGAGAACCATTCATTTACTTTACATATACAGAATAGTATATTGGTATAAATATTACAAATTCAACAACAATATACGAATGTGCGGGTGGATTGGGTTTGGTGAGAAAAATGTCAACCTGTATCCGACTGGCCCGATCCATCAATCATTTGAGTATCATCCATTTTTTCGGGCTTACATCCATTTAATTAGGTCTTGTGGGTCGGATATCCATCGAGTAAGGATGAGATTCTCAGCATACACACACCCTCCTGAAACCCTACTATTCCAGGCTTTTAACGAGTTTTTTGTTCTTGTTCTTTTTGTTGTGCATTTGGATGTGGTTTTATTGCTCTTAAGAGTTTGTTGAAACAATATTTTCAGAGGGCTGCCGAACGAGGAGGTTATGGCGGCGAGCGGTATGAGCAGTTGGAGTTTCAGAAAAAAGTTGCCCTGTCTTACAGGGCCCTTCAAGATTCATCATGGAAAGTAAGGCAAAATTATTCTTGTTTTAATAATCCATTTGTCCCTAAAAAGTTCACTTTTTTGTGTTTTTGGTCTTGGTTTTCTCATTTTCTTTTCCTACCACTTTTCTTATCATTTCCTCTCTAACCAAACAAGAAAAATTCTTTTCCATGCCATTTTCTTTTCTTTTTTCCTTTCAAATTCCTTGAACCAAACACAGTGTAGTAAAGGACAAGTCCTAATCATACATAGACAACTGTTCTTGTATATATTTGTGCTGATTCAGGTAATAGATGCAACCCTTCCCATTGAAGACATTGAAGTTAAACTGAGAGAGCTTGTGGTGGAATGCATGTCAAAGTGCCGAGACGGAAAACCACTGTCGTTGCTGTGGTCCGTCTAAGTTCATGCACGTAAATTCTTATAAGGTAAATTAATAATAATAATAATAATAATAATTAGGAATACCAATGTTGTAAACGCACACTATATGTTGTCACTTAAGTCTTCCTCTTTATGTTTATCAATTTTCTCATGTGAGAAAATCTATTTTGCTTTAGTGATTTTTTATAGAGTTGTGTGACACTGGGAGGTCATTGTTGATTATACAAACAAACTAGTGTTCATAACTGCCACTGCAGGTGGAAACTGCCGCCGCAGATGAAACTATTATCATCAGAAGCTGCCGCGGGTGTGATCAACCACCACTACCACCACCACCACCCAAAGCAACAGGTGTCGCCACAAACCGTTGCCGCTCCTCCCAAAAAAGTAACATTTTTTTTAATATTTCGGACGCCCCAAAATTAAAATTATACTTTCATATTTGACATATATCTAACCCACTAAAAAGATTATAGTACTCTCCTGTTTTGTTTTTCCATCCACAAATATTTACCATTTCTTGGTTAATTTGGGGATTTTATTTATTACCACTACGTATTCATCTTAATGTGTGTGAAGTCAATATGTGGCTTTAGTATTGGGAGCAAAAGAAACATAAAAACACCAAATCATGCTCTAACTTGAACCTGTACAGAGTTTCCCACTTCAATGTCTAACCCAATTCAACAAATCACCGACAATAATTGTGTGATTACCCGTTGTGCTTTACGATATTTGACATTAGAGTATTCCATCTGTCTTAAACTAACTTCCCGTTGCGCTCTACGATATTTGAGGTTATTCTCGATTTTTTTTTTGAAAATTGGTATGGAAATTTAAAAAAAAATTATATATTTAAATATTATATAAAAAAATATACGAAACTAGAAGTGATATAATTATATTTTTTATTATTAGAGATGTAGCGAAAATAGGCAAACAAAGTTGATAAAGTTTGATCCAATGAATATTGAACGGAAAAATAGTTTTAGGACGTATGAAGTATAACATTAAATGAGCAAATTTCATACGGAGTAAATGGTTTTTTGTAGTATGTGATTTTCATATTTAGTTTTCAATTTTAAGATATTACAGATGTGGTTTTTAATTTTGAAAATTATTTTATAATCAGTCTTTTGGGGTATATTTGAAAAAATATTTGGTTGTATTTGGCTAATTATGAAATAGTTTTTAGAAATTAAGAACTACGAATGTAATACCTTAGAATTGAAGATCTTCATTTTTATTTAACTATCTATTTTGTTTTGCGTGTCAAACTTTTGATTAATTATATATAAAAGCATATAGTATATATTAAAATATAAAAATTATATCAAATTATTGGTATTGAAAAAATACATTAAATGTATTATTTTTAATATTTTTTGCTTGTATATTTTAAGAGATATTATTGGTTAAATTTAAGTTTGAAAAATAAATCGAATAGTTAAATATGAATGGAGGGAATATGTTATAAGGAACTATTCACGAAATTTACTCAAGCTAATAGTTTTGACAAAGAAAAGTTAAACCAAGAAGCAAAAACTAGGAAAGGGAGTAGAAGATATAAAGCCAAAAATTGAAAAACTTGAAAATTGGTTGGAAAGTAAAAATTAGAAAATGTATTAACAATTATAACAAATTCAGTAAAATTTGACTTTGATTCCTGGCATATGACTTTTGTGAGTACTAGGTGCATACTCTATTTTTTATCACTATTCTGTAATTATAGTCTAATTTACCTTTTTTCAATGACTATGGGTCTGAAGGAACCCTTAGAAATGAGACTCATCATTTTTTTTCTAAAAACAAAACTTTAACCTCACAATCTTTATCAATATTTTAATTGTGTAAAACCAAATTGTGAATTTAATTTTCAAAAGAAATGTTTGCAAAGAGTAACTTTTTTTGTGGTTCTTAGGTTTATGTTTATTTTATGAAGCTTTATACATAAAAAAAATTATGAATTGGGCCTTGTAAAAGTTTTAACGAGTTTAAGAAATTGTTTAAAGGTATAAAATATGTAATTCGAATTTATTTAAAAAAGAGAAAATTGTTAATAGTCAACGCTATTATTACTCCATATTAAAATACATTTAAGTATATTAAAAAAATTAATTGGAGACATGGATTATATATGGGTTATGCTACTCTTACACCACAAATTGTACCCCATTTATACACCGCAGTTATATACAAACATTTTGATGATTTATACCGACATAAGTGTTGGTGCATTAATAAAAATTTACACGGACACAAAGTGTTGGTGCATTAATAAAAATTAGTTTTACACCAACACAAAGTGTTAGTGCAAAGCTACGGGGTATAAAGTGGGGTACATATGGGGTACAAATAGCTTTACCCGTTATATAATCCAAAATAAGATCACACAAAGAACAGTTTAATACTCCGTAAAATAAATACGGGGTAATAAAAGAAATAAGATCACTCCAAGAACAGTTTAATAAATACAAAAAATAAAGTCAAAAATAGGATCACACAAAGAATCACACAATCTTCTGCACCCATTTTTCTCGATCGAAACATATCATTCTCTCAATTTCCAACCCCGTCGTTCATCATCGTCCCAAACTCCTAACCCTAATAAGCTTCTCTCTCTCTCTCTCATCAGATTCAGAGCTCTCTGTTCAGCTCCTCTGATTCATTATTTCGGGTTTCTTGCCAATTTTCGAGCTGATTCTTGGCTCAATCTTCCAATCATCAAGATTCGAACAAGCCCATTTTTTATGGCAGATTTATGCATGTATCAATACCAGTACTCTCTGTTTTTCTCTATCAATTCTCTCTCTTTTTCCTTCAGTTTCAGCTCAGAAATGGTGATCTGAATAAACCCCATTTTGGGGAGGCCCTATTTTTTGTTTTGTGTATTTAGTGCAAACCCAGACCTTCTTTGGGCTCCTTAACCTTGAATCCGTTTCAAAAATTCTATCTTTCTCCTCATTAAGTTTAGCCTTGAATTTCTTTCTGTATGTGCTGATTTGATGCTCCCAGTCTTGTACAAGAGGGCAATGAAGAACCCTGTAGCTGGGAAGAAATGGCTATATGCACTCTTCTCTGCTGCATTTCTGTCGGCCCTCATATTTTTGACCTCGATCACCGGGTTTAGTTCTTATCACTATGCATTTTCCTCAGAAAGATCATTTGCTTCGACTGTTGCCCGTGGGCCCGGGCATCCTCCGGCGTTTGCCTACTATATTTCCGGCGGCAAGGGAGATGCAGAGAGGATGTTCAGGCTGTTGCTGGCTGTTTATCACCCTAGGAATAGGTATTTGTTGCACATTGGGGCAGACGGGAGCGAGGAGGAGAGGAGGAAATTGGGGGTTCTTGTGAGGTCCGTGCCCGCGATTAGGGCTTTTGGCAATGTGGATTTGGTCGGGAAGCCGGATCCGGTGACCCATATGGGATCAACAAACATTGCGGCTGTCTTGAGAGCCGTGGCCATTATGTTGAAGGTGGATAGTGGATGGGATTGGTTCATTACTCTTAGCCCTAGGGATTATCCGCTCGTGAGCCAAGACGGTATGTTTTCTTACAGTTCAATTTGGTGTCTTTAGGTAAGTTTTTTCTTTGCTTTGTTTATTAAGTTTCAGATGATATCTTGTTGTAGAACAACAAACCCAGTAGAATCCTATAAGATGATAGAGTGTGTGTGCGGAGACCTTACTACCCCTACTTTAAATTAGAAAGATTTGTTTCTAAGAGATTAGAGAGCAATAAGCAAATGAAGTTTAATGTGTCTTTTTTGTTTAGCGCATTCTGTTTTTGAAAGTAAAACATTTTCTATAATGACTCTAAAACATTGTTTTCGAAACTAAAACATTGTCATGAGCATCGCCAAATAGCTAAAATGATTTGGTTGGCTTTTAACTTTTCTTCTATTTTTTGCTACAAACTTATCTTCTAGTATCATATGATCTCTTGATTCAATGATGTTGAATCTTCTACGTATCGAAGTACGGAGTAAGATTCATCTGCCTTGGTGATGTGTCGTGTACTCATTCATCAACTATGTGTGTGCATTGTACCATCTTGGTTTCATTGATTGTGAAATTGGATTTTAATGCAGAGTAATAGTTTCTTGGTTCATCCTAAGAGCATGCTTGCTTACTATGGTATTTGAGTTAATACCGTTACTACGATGTTTATTTAAGGTTTATAATTTTTTTAATAACCGAAATGATCTAAACCTAAACCAACAAAATTCAACTGAAAATCACCCTATAAAGCGAGGGGGTATATGCGGAAACAACCTCTCTACTACTTGGAAACAACCTCTCGACTACCCTATTGCTTAGGGCTTGTTCTCTTCACCTGATCTGATTGAAATAAGTTCTGAAGTAATAAGTAATAAGAATAAGTTGAAGAAAACAAGCTCTTAGTAGGGATACAAGCCCTTTGTGGAATTTTCTAGGTGTGTTGTTGTTCGTAGCGAATGTCTTGTATGTTCATACCGTATTGTTTAATTACTACAAGTATAATTTTTTCTTGCTTATTTAACTATGGCTGATCTATATTTTTGATTATTTTTTAATTGTTCCAGAGCTTTTCCATGTCTTCTCAAATGTCAGGAGAGATCTGAACTTTATTGATCACTCCAGTGACCTTGGATGGAAAATGTAGGCAAAGCAAAACCATACAGTAATATGTGTTTTTAAATTGGTGCCAAATATTAGTGTAATGTATTTCACAAATATTGATATTATTTTTATTTTTATTTTCTCTATCTGTAGGGACCAAAGAATTCGGCCAGTAGTTGTCGATCCCGGGATTTACTTGGCTCGGAGGTCCCAAATTTTTTACGCAACCGAAAAGCGACCCATGCCCGAATCTTTTACTGTTTTCACAGGTAAATAATCTACCCTATTTTCTCCTTGTATTGTTACTTACACCATGTTTGGTTGAAAAAAATGAGATGAAAAAGATTTTTTCATGTTAGGTTACACATGAAAGAAAGAAAATGAGAGGGAAAACAAAATTTCTCCCATTTATGTGAGGAAAATGAGAGGAAAAACCCATTTTTTTCTTCGCCTTCCGAATTGTGATGGGATTTGTAGGAACCTATGTAGAATAGTAATTTTTTTTTACTGCAATGGTAAATTGACAATTTGTTTTCAGGCTCTGCATGGTTTATCTTGAGCCGTTCCTTCCTCGAGTTCTGCATTTTCGGTTGGGACAACCTCCCGAGAACCCTTCTGATGTATTTCACAAACTCTCTTCTGTCACAAGAAGTCTATTTCCATTCTGTCATTTGCAACTCTTTGGAGTTCAAGAACACGACGGTCAACGGCGACCTGAGGTATTTCGTGTGGGACGATCCGCCCAAGATGGAGCCCCACGTCCTGGGCCCACCAGACTACGACGACATGGTTCAGAGCGGCGCGGCTTTCGCCCGACGGTTTGAGGGTGACGGTCCGGTTCTTGACATGATTGATGAGAGGATCCTCAACCGGACCCGCAACCGCGTGGCCCCCGGCGCGTGGTGCGCGGGCCGGGGCACGTGGTTGGCGGACCCGTGTTCGCAATGGGGCGATGTCAATGTCATCGAGGCGGGACCCGGAGCAAAAAGACTCGGAGCGTCCGTGGATAAGCTCCTCGAGGACTGGCAATCACAAACGAATCAATGTAAATGACCCCAGAGGGCCACATGATTTGTAGGGTCATTTTGACAAAAATGACCCTACAAATCACAGGCGTGTGAAGAACCCAGTGGCGGTCTAGCCACTGGGGTTCGGAAATCGGAATACTTTCGGGTAGAGGGGTGACATTTTGTAGAGGATTTTTATCATCAAGTGGTCACTCACTCACTTGGTGTTTGGTATAGGGGCAAAAAGGGGAACAAAAATTGGAAGCCATTTTTATGTGGTGTCCTCTCCTTTAAACAAGAATGGGAAAGAGCCTCTCAATGTGCTTATACTGTATATTTGTGAATGCTCAGACGTCATTATACTTCAAATCAAATTTTATATTTTCCATTTTCAGATGTTTTAAAATAGATTTTGTGTTTTTTGTTTACTTTTAATTTCAGGAAATAAACACTCGTATGTAGACATTTTAATTTCTTCTTTATAAATTTGGAAAAATTACCCAAAATAATCCCAATTTTACCCGGTCTTTCAAAAATAATCTCATATTTCACTGTAATGGATAACAATTCCAACTTTACTGAAATTTGCCAGTTTTGGGTCGCTGTTAAGTTTCTAACAGAGGGTTAACGGAAATGGCCATTTTAGGCAGCAAAATGAAAGTTGAGATTATTTTTGATGAATTTTCTTTTTTTTTTATTTTTTTAAATTTTTCAAGTAAATTTTTTAAATTACTTTCAACCTCCATCATCATTTCTTTTTCCTTTTTTAAAGATTAGCCTTAGTTTAAAAAATAAAAATAATAGATATAAAAAATGAAAAAATGAGAAATGTAACTAAAATGATACAAAAATAATAAAATAAATAAGGTAATCAATGGAAACTAACTTGAAATTGGTAAAAGTAAAATAAAAATATACGGGTGGGTTTTAACATTTTACGCATTATACAAAGTATTAACATATCACTTCTTATTTTTTAGAAAAAATTATCTACAATAATTCCAACTTTACCGAACGGCTTGTTCTTTTAAAAAATAAGTTGTACATTAAGACTCTGCATAGTGTGTAAATTGTTAAAACCCACCACTCCGTATATATTTATTTTATTTTTTACCAGTTTCTATTTAATTTCTATTGATTACATTATTTATTTGATTAATTTTGTATGGTTTTAGTTATTTTTCTCATTTTCATTATTTTTTATATCTATTTTTTTCTAAGGTAAGAATAATCTTTAAAAAATAAAAAGAAACAGAGGTTGAAAGTAATTTTAAAAAATTTAAATAAAAATTTCAAAAAAAATTAAAAAACAAAAATTAATCAAAAATAATCCCAACTTTCATTTTGTTACCTAAAATGGCATTTCCGTTAACCATCCGTTAGAAACTTAACGGTGACCCAAAACTGGCAATTTTCAATAAAGTTGGGATTATTATGCATCACATTGAAAGGTTGGATTATTTTTGAAAGAGCGGGTAAAGTTGGGATTATTTTGAGTAATTTTTCCTATAAATTTTGATGGCACATTTTCCATTGCCCCTCAATCATTCGCCACCCACACATGAAGCCGTCTAACCGCCCCCACCCCCATACACCTTGGGTTTCTCCATATGCTACTAAAATATTATTCCGGGGTACATAGTACTCCGTATTAAATTGTCTCAAGACATATTTTTTCAATATTAGTTTTCAAATATTGACAATAGAAACTAATTTTTTAAAGAAATGTTTTCCTTTCTACCAAACAACGGAAAATATGATTGGAAAATTATTTAAGGAACAATTCACAATTAGTCCAAAATAATATTAAAATATTTTAGAAACAGTTCACAATTAGTCTAAAATCAATCAAATATCACAAATCAGTCCAAAATTACATATTTAAGGAACAATTCACAATTAACTCTCAAATTATATTAAAATCTAAGTTAATACGTCTATCAAAAGATAATTAAATATGCACAAATAACAGACTTATCAGTATCTCTTCCTACATAATTCTAATCAGTTACGAAAGAGTCATGTTAGGGATATACCAAAATAGTATAATCTATTTGTACACCAGATAGACATAGATGTTATGCGTTTGTGGTTTACAAACACATAGTTTATGTACAAAAAAATTTATGTACCGAAAGTATATGCGAATTTATTTTATCTTAGGTGACTATTCGTCCCATCAATCGGTCATGGGAAGCCTCGGAGATATGATTCAATTTTTTTAGATTAATGCTAGAGTCACAAATAGAATATTCACAAAAAGCACAAACTTATCATTTATGTATTTATCTTTTTATTCTTAATTATTTGGAACTATTCTTTGAGATCGTTATTTTGCATACCTCCTTCGTCCCAAAATGTAAGCAACACTGCACTATTTAAAAAATACGGCAACTTTTATTTATTTTTTTTATTTTTATTAATTATTTGATAAAATAAAATATTAATGTCACCACTTATTTTATAAAACTTTTGACTTACTTTTTAAATATGTAAATTTTATTTTTTTATTTGTAGATCTTTCTTTAAATAAAATGAATTTAAAAAATTTAAAAAATTACTACGTTTAGCATAATGCTACTTATACATTTTGGAATGGAGGGAATATTTAATAAAATTATATACTTTGTGAGTATTTTGTTTGTGAATCTAACAATTTCTTTTTTTTTAACTTTGTAAACTATGAATCCCAATGTACCCTTGCCAAATGCCAACCGTTGATTGGGTGGGAGATCTTTTAGTGCAGGTGGAGGGACTAGGTTGACAGCTCTAGGTTGATAGGGGCAGAACAGCAATTAAATTTTTGGATTGTGGTGAATGAATGAATTATTCTCTCCCTCTTAAAAAAATAAAGATATTTTGTTACAGTGTAGTAAAATATACTGTTGTAAAAGAAATTTTCCACTTTGATTTTACAAAATACTCCGGAGTATTAAAAACGGAGTACTAAAAAGAGATTAAATATGGAAAATTTTTAATAGCACTTTAAATGATTTTTTAAACACTCTAAAAATCTATTGACACTATATTATAGTAGACCGGCTCACACTACGATACTCTCTTTGAAAAAAGAAAGAGAAATACGAACATAAGAGTAAAACACAGAGAAATAATGAAAATAGAAGTCACATGTTTTTACTCTTTGGTCATTTCTATCCATGTAATCTCTTGTCCTCTACCTTATTTTTGGCATTTGGCAATACTAAATTAGACACTAACATGTACTCCCTATTAGTATAAGGTCATGTTTTCTTTGCTGATTCATTTTGATTTAATTGAAATAAATTTTCATCTGATCTGATCTTATTTGAATATAATTATATTTAAAGCTATTTCCAATCTGATATGGTCCGATTCCAATAAAAATAAATAACGATTAAAAAAATAAATTTAAGAGAGCATGACTTTAGTAATTTTTTTAAATAATAAAGTGTAGCGCTAAAATTGTTACTATTATATATGGAGTATTTTTTACCATTCAAAAATATTACATTCGTTCTTAAAATATACTCCGTATTGTCTAAGTTATTATTCTTTCTTTCCATAAATTTTTGTTTATTTATGTGTTTTTATTAATTATTTAATAAAATAGAATGTTTTTGTTATATAATCCATTATTTTAAATTTTTTATTTTATTTTTTATTTCTATATACTCCATCCGTCCCTAAATAAATTATACTCCGTAATTTTTTTCTCTCTCCTCTCGATAACTTTTGTTTGTATACACAATTTCACTAATTATTTGATAAAATAAAATATTCTTGTCACCTCTTGTTTTGTAGAACTTTTGACGTATTTTTTTAATATGTAATTTTTATATTTTATTGATATACCAATTTGTATATAAAATAATTTCAAAAAGTAGAAAATTTTACTCTGTAACCCGCAATTTGTAATCAAATTGGTGACGGAAGGAGTAAAAGATACTCGGTAAGAAAGGATTTTGAAAAAAATGAAGTTTTACATGCTATTCTATGTGATACAATATTATGAATATCCGGTTATTTATAAACTACTCTCTTTGTCTCGAATTAATTGTCACACTTTTTCACTTTAGTCGAATCTTAAATAATTATCTCATATTTTATATTTTAATAAAATTAAGAATATGTGATCTACAACCTTTTCTTTTCTTTTAAATAAAATTCATCCACTAGCTTTTTATTTTTTTATCACATTTCTTCATATTTATTTAAATAATGAAGAAAATGAAAACCTTTTTTTTAAATGAAAAAGTTATTTAAAGGGCATGGGGAAGCTACAGGGTTGGACAGATAAAAGTCGGCCTGTCAAGTCGCTGTGTTTAACTTTATTTCTCTCTCTCTCTCTCATACTCTTTTCTCCACAGTTTTTAACGTTAAATCAAATCACAGTTCATCAGTGCTTTCGCAGCCCCCCCCCCCCAAAAAAAAAGATATTTATAACTCGAAAAAGTTAGACTGTAAAAATATACTCTGTATATTATTATACCAAATGATCACTAAAAATAAACAAATAAATAAAATTCATCGAAAAGTTAGAATAATGGTTGTGACGATATCTTTGAGACAGCAAATTATTCGGCAATTGATAATTGCACTCCAAATATGTTAATGACACTCCACATTTTTTCATCTATTTTCAATTTGACACTTATACCCTTGTCATTTGTTTTTTCTCGCTCCAATAATATTAATGCTCTAGATTGACAAAGTGGAGTGTTGCATTTGTAATTGAAGTATAGGCATTATCAACTTCTTTATGTTAGATTATGACAGAATTTATTTTTAAATTGGGTTAATTATACTTTTGGTCCTTGTAATTATTAAATATTCCCTATAAAATAATTATTTTTGCAAAAATTGTCCTCCCCTAAGTTAAATATTTGTTTTGATCCTTGTAATATTAATATAAAAAAATTTCATCCCTTTAAAATTCTTTCTGATCATTCAATTCTATTTTTAAATTATTCAATAATCATTCACGAATATCTTATTCTTTTTATTAAGTACTCCCTACGTTCCCAATTTGATTACAAATTAGGGTCTACGAGGATAAATATCTCACATTTTGAAATCTTTTTATTTACAAATTTATAAATCGATAGGAAATAAAAATTACATATTAAAAAAATACGTCAAAAGTTTTACAAAACAAGAGGTGACAAAGATATTTTAATTTATCAAATACTTAATGATATTGCGTAAACAAACAAAAGTTATCGAGAGGAAAAAAAGCTGTAATCAAATTGGGGATGGAGGGAGTATATATTTAATTACAAGGTCAAATTCAATGGAATATTTTTAAATACTTAATCGAATAACTAAATTTTAACAAATTCATTTAAAAAGTTGCTA